TGCTTCTCCCTCTGCCTGTGTCTCTGCCTCTCTCTCTCTCCCTCTGTGACTATCATAAATAAATAAAAAAAAATTAAAAAAAAAAATTAAAAAAAAAAAAATTTAAAAATAAAGGTATAAATGCCAAAAAGAATATTGATTGCAGGTGAAGTACAAATAAGAGGGATTTTTTTTAACTGCTATATGTTGCCTATGATGTAGTTTTTCACACAGTAAATATTAAAAGCACCTTCCCATTGAGAAAGTGAAATAAAGAATTTGTCCATGATAATAATCTACTTGATGATGAAACCCTAGAATTTAAGAATCTATATCGAATGGAACCACTCACTCACATTGAGGAAAGAACATTCCAAACCTGGTTTGTATCATGTAACAATAACTCTTACTCAGAATAGGTATTCAATATGTATTTCTCAAATAAGTTATTTATAAACAGTAGTTCTTAGCACACAGATGTGACTAGTACTACCTGATGTAGTTTGCTTGTTTGTCTGCCTGCCACTGCAACATTTTCGTGGAGGACCTTCTTGATCTCTTTCCTTTGACCTCCCTTAGAAATTTAGCCCTTTGGAGGAGATTTAGACATTACATCCCATCCCTCGGCTCAAGGAAGGACTATAATACCAATAATTGACCCAGATGCAATTGCCTAATACAGACATGTGGGGCATATAGTTGGTTTAGCTAGGCTATTTCTCAGGTGTCCTGAATTACACCTGGGGTCCCAGGGGCAAATTTGGAATTTAAGGATTAATGCAAGAGCATTAGCCACAGGGCACCTGGGTGGCTCAGTGCTTGAGCCTCTGCCTTTGGTCCGCCTTTGGCTTGGTTGTGGTCCTGCCTGGGGTTCTGGGATGGAGTCCCACATTGGGCTCTCCGCAGGAAGCCTGCTTCTCTCTCTCTGCCTGTGTCTCTCATGAAAAAACAAAAATCTTAAAAACAAAGCAAAACATTAGCCACAAAAGCCAGATTCTTGGAGTCTGTGAGTCCTTTAAAAAAAAAAAATCTGATGATTATAGTTATTTGGAAAAGAGGAAGACAAAAAGCCAACGTTAGCACAGGTTGTGACAAGTTTTAAAATACTAAGAATACCATAAGTTTCCCAGTAAGTAACCTGAGAAGGTAGTTATTTTAATTGGGTTACCAAATATAGCTTCACCTTTCTAAATCTCACCGGCTACGCTACATTCATTTGGGGAAACATTCAGAAAAGCTTTCTGCCTACCATTATAACTCAGTGCTTGAGTGTGGCTATGAATATAACCAGACGTTTGTTTTTCCCAGAAATACTTGGTGGTTCAGCTTTTTGTTCAGTTTTATTTTTTTTAATTCCATGTGTTTTATTATTTTTTTTAATTTATTTATGATAGTCACACAGAGAGAGAGAGAGGCAGAGACACAAGCAGAGGGAGAAGCAGGCTCCATGCACCGGGAGCCCGACGTGGGATTCGATCCCGGGTCTCCAGGATCACGCCCTGGGCCAAAGGCAGGCGTTAAACCGCTGCGCCACCCAGGGTTCCCTGTTCAGCTTTAATAGTATGGAATTCCTAAGGATCTTTCCCATCCTGTTTTCTGACGTTTCCACTTCCATCTCCAGGAGAAAGGGAAAAAAGTCAAAATTTTCCCAAATTGCTTTGTTTTCAACTTTTAGTATCTTGACCACTGTATGAATATATATATATATATATGAATAGTCTTAACTCAATAATTTTTAAACCATGTATTATAAACTTTTTATATAACAAGGAAAATAACTTATGCACAAGATCAAATGAGCTTGCTATGTTATGGCTCATACCATACCAGTAAAATATAAAGATTAATAGCTAGCACTATGCCAGATACTGTTGAAATGTTTTGATCTACAGTATCTCATTTACATATAATAATGCGCTTAATAAATAGCGAATACTGTAGCGTTCCTTAAAGGAAAGTTTACATTACAGCAAGTTCATTCCAAGCCACACTTGAGGTGGTCCAGAAGCAGAAGAGAATCAGGGTGTACAACAGGAAAAAAGGCGCAATCTCTTTTTGTGATATAGATGCTAAAGCATACATTCCTGAATGTTCTCAAAAGGGAAAAAAGGATAACACTGGCTTCTATAAAATGAGCTTAGTGATCTCTTGTCCTGTCTGCCTAAAATTAGAATTCAGATATCAAAATTGTATAGTTTGAATTCTTAAAATGAAATGGTACCATTATTTGTTAAATCACGTTAAATTCCTCTATCATAAAGAAGTTACTCAGGCAGAGACCATTTTCATGATTGTGGAAGACGTAAAATTTTTAAAAACTTTCTATGGTTGAAGTTTAATATTTTTTTTGTCTGCAATGCCACCCCCCCCCCAGCCATCCTCTCCCCAGAAGTTTATTCTTGAAATGCAAACATTTCCCCCAAAACTATGAGTCCTTGATTAGAGTTAACATCTTTCTTACCAAACACTAGTGTTTCTACGATGCCAGGGTATGGAATAACATTTGAAGAGTTTGCCGACTCTATGGATCACATGGCCCTACCCAAGTAAATGAATTTTGCACATTCCCATCTTGAACTTTTAAGGTTAATGAGTGAAAAAAAGGAACTAGATAGCATGCCTGGGTTAGTAGGTTATTCAAATTCCCAAACACAGCTGATGGGTCTCCTTTATGTTTTTTTAAGCTTTTACTTTTTATTCACGAGGCACACAGAGAGCAGCAGAGATACAGGCAGCGGGAGAGGCAGATTCCCAGTAGGGAGCCGGATGCGGGACTTGATCCCAGGACGAGGATCATGCCCTGAGCTGAAGGCAGACGCTCAACCGCTGAGCCATACAGGGATCCCGAGTCTCCTTTATTTTCTGACCACATTCCTTTGTTGACTTAGATATGTATACATGGCTCCAAATGCACCCCTTTTAGGTCCAAGATATTAGTAATAGACCTTTTTTCTCAAAAACTGAATTTTAAATTTTTCTTTAAACTTGTATTGTTTCCTTAGTACACAGAACAGAAAATATAGGCAAGCACAAACAAAACAGACCTAACCACCTAGAGGATATGTTACCTTCAGAATTGTTTTGTAGGCCTGTGAACACAGACAACAAATTGGGTCATTCTAAGGGTAATCAGATTTTTTGCTCGACAGGAGAGCATGAATATCTTTCCATTTCAATAAACATATGCATCATTATTCATCAAGGCTTCCCAGTAAGGTTGATTTGTTTACCTAATTACACAAAACTGGACTACCAGTTCTTCACTATGGAAACGTTTTTGATTTATTAAAGATTTGCTTTCTGCAAGGTGGACATGTCCTGACCCAGAGGACTGGAATACTTTTCCTTGCAAACATCCCACTTCCTGGCTACTCAGACTTTCTTGTCACAAAGCCTGTGCAAGGAAGCTATTGGCCCGGCTCCTGGGCCCAGGAATGCTGCTGCTGCCGTTAATAGCTGTGTGAACAGTCCATCTATGGGCAACAGGCAGCTGCCTGGGTACCTGAATGTTTTCTTACTTAGGCCTGTGCTTCCCATGCTGAAATGTGGACCAGATATATTCTCATGGCAAGAAGATCTTCACGACGACAAGGGAAAGCCTGCAGTTCGCATTTCAGGGCTAGAATAAAAACAAGATGTCTTCTCCAAAGGTTGCACCAACTTAGCTGGAACTAAGGAATGACAGCAACCCCTCCTCCTCCCCCCCCCCGCCCCCCCCTTGTTCCTGGCCCGCCCTGGGACACACGTGGGCGATGGGTGAGGCGTTCCCCAGGAATGTCTGCGAGGCCCATCGGGCATGGGTGGGGGTTATTAAATAACCAGAACCCAGGTTTCTTCCAAGACACAAAAGGACTGCAGTTGAAATGAGGGTCTATTCTAAAAGTGGGCGAACCATCCATGAAAGAGAAAACATGACAGCACTGAAAGTGCTGGCATCCTAGCTCCTGGAACCAAAATAAGGAAGATTCCTTTATTCACAGTCACCCTACAAGTGACCGTGACGTTTCTGAACGCCCACACCCCTGGGTTTTAAGGCGTCCCCTGTCTGACCTTGAACTAAAGGCACCGCCCCCGGGGCCCCTGGTGTCCCCTCTCCTGGAATAGAAAAAGCTATTCTTTTCCCTGGAATTATTTTCATTGTTTATATTATTGTGATTTTCTGGTCCTTGAGCCTTTGGTTCAGCCTCACAGTGCGTTCTTCTGAATTCTTAACGACAGGCCGTCTCCTACCCTCCGCCGCCGGTGTCCAGGAAGAGGGGTCGAGCAGGCCTGGGGGGCAAAGCCGAGCATGCCTGCCCCCTTCTCCAGGCAGCCCTGGAGTCTGAGTCTCTATGAATCGGCAACTACCCCTGCGCCTGGTCCGCTGACGAAAGTTAATGACTGAGTTTAGTCAAGTCTGAAACTCCTGCAGGAGCAGAGTGGAGCGGATTCCTGGCATCTGGCCCCGTGTCCCTTATAAATATGCCAAGAAGAGAGTCACCTAAGAAGCTCATACTCCTTCAAGCTGTGGTCCTCAATTGTAAAAATCCCAGCCTTCGAAATCTGCCCGGCGATAAGGCTCACTAGCAACCCCGCGGACGAGCGGAATTCAGGGCAAAACAAGAAGAGGGCCTTGCAGCGGGCCGCCCAGGGGCTCGGGGGCCGCCGCGGTGGGGAAGGCTGGCGCGAGGGGGGGGTGGCTCGGGCTCCGCGCGCCGAGCTCGCCCCGCCGGCCTCCGCCGCGCAGCCAGGCCCGGGGAGTCGCGGGCGGGCCCCGGAGGCCCCCGGCCCTGCACGGAGAGGACGCGCGTCGCCCGGAGAGCCCGGCTCGGGCGGGGGTCCGCCGGCAGCCCCAGGCCGGCGCGGGCGCGGGCGCGGGCGCGGGGCGGCTGGGCGGTGACTCAGCCTGGGGCGCGGGGCGGCGGCGGGCCCGGAGGGGTTAAGTGGGCGGGCCCCGCGCCGCCCCGCCCCTCCCGGGCCCGCCCCGGGGCCGCGGCGCGCCGGGCGGTACTTATAGCGGCGGCGCCGGGCGCGCGGCGTTCCTCCCGCTGGCCCCGGCCGCGGCGCCCCTGAGCTCTCGCGGCGAGCGCGCCATGGAGCGGCCGGCGCCCCTGGCCGTGCTGCCCTTCTCGGACCCCGCGCACGCGCTGAGCCTGCTGCGCGGCCTGAGCCAGCTGCGCGCCGAGCGCAAGTTCCTGGACGTGACGCTGGAGGCGGCGGGCGGGCGCGACTTCCCCGCGCATCGCGCCGTGCTGGCGGCCGCCAGCCCCTACTTCCGCGCCATGTTCGCGGGGCAGCTGCGCGAGAGCCGCGCCGAGCGGGTGCGCCTGCACGGCGTGCCGCCCGACATGCTGCAGCTGCTGCTCGACTTCAGCTACACGGGCCGCGTGGCGGTGAGCGGCGACAACGCCGAGCCACTGCTGCGGGCCGCCGACCTGCTGCAGTTCCCGGCGGTAAAGGAGGCGTGCGGCGCCTTCCTGCAGCAGCAGCTCGACCTGGCCAACTGCCTGGACATGCAGGACTTCGCCGAGGCCTTCAGCTGCGCGGGGCTGGCGAGCGCGGCGCAGCGCTTCATCCTGCGCCACGTGGGCGAGCTGGGCCCCGAGCAGCTGGAGCGCTTGCCGCTGGCGCGCCTGCTGCGCTACCTGCGCGACGACGGGCTGTGCGTGCCCAAGGAGGAGGCCGCCTACCAGCTGGCGCTGCGCTGGGTGCGCGCCGACCCGCCGCGCCGCGCCGCGCACTGGCCGCAGCTGCTCGAGGCCGTGCGCCTGCCCTTCGTGCGCCGCTTTTACCTGCTGGCGCACGTCGAGGCCGAGCCGCTGGTGGCGCGCTGCCCGCCCTGCCTGCGCCTGCTGCGCGAGGCGCGGGACTTCCAGGCGGCGCGCTACGACCGCCACGACCGCGGGCCCTGCCCCCGCATGCGCCCGCGCCCCTCCACCGGCCTCGCCGAGATCCTCGTGCTCGTGGGCGGCTGCGACCAGGACTGCGACGAGCTGGTCACCGTCGACTGCTACAACCCGCAGACGGGCCAGTGGCGCTACCTGGCGGAGTTCCCCGACCACCTGGGCGGGGGCTACAGCATCGTGGCTCTGGGAAACGACATCTACGTGACGGGTGAGGGGACGGGGGCCCCCGGGAGGACTCTGGGTTAGCCTCCCTCTGCGCCCCTGGCAGAGGAGGAACCTGTGATTCTCAGGAGCGCCCCAGCGTGCGAGCGGGCGGCCCCTTCCCTCCCCCATCCCCTGCCCCCAGCCCGCCCGTGGGTACACTCCTAGAGCTGGTGCTTTCCATCTGGAAGACCGTTGTGTGAGCGGGGACAAACAGCTGCTCGTGGTCCCTTTGTTCCCCGGGGGCGAGGGGCCAGCCTGTTTGATAGATGAGCCTACTCCTTGCCCAGGAGGTGCCCCCACCGCCATTTGGTTCGAGGATGTAGGGGCATTCACCCCGCACAATGGGTGCTTTCTTTTTCTCCCTGAGGAATCCAGGGACAGGCAGGGGCTGGCGCTCCGTGTGAGACATCCGTTCCCGGCCCTGGGGATTTCTCCCTCCCAGCTGAGCCACACAGGGCCCCCTGACGCACTCACTTTGTCACCAGTGACAGGGCTCCCCCAGGCTTGCACCTAGCCTGTGCGCTGGGGGTCACATGGTGTTTAGGCAGCTCTCTGCCGAACGACTGTAAACATGGTCACATGCTAAGAGGTTTTCTTCCAGTTACTTGGCCCAAACCCCAAAACACTGCCGAGTCATGCTGGGCGGGTCCCAGCCTACTCTGGTCCTGGGCATCTCCCACATTTTTCATTAAAGATAAATCCCGGTTCAGACATGGGGCTACCTCCTTCCCTGGGGTGAGGAGGGGCCGGCTCTGTGACAGCTATATAAGGAAACAACCGACTCAGCCCCCTGCTGGGCCTGTGGAAAGGTTGTCAGCAGTCAGTGAACCCAGGCTGGGGCTAGTGCCCCACATTCAGGAGAAGCCCAGCTCTGATCTCAGGCATTCCCACCCCCCCACACCTCTGGTTGACCAGTGAAGGAATCCTGGCCTAAGGACATGCCCCACTCCTCTTTGGCCTGCTGCTGTTTCAGCCTTTGCTGGAATATGCTAGAATCGGTCTCTTAACCATCTGAGGTTGGCCCTGTGTTTGCAAACTGCATCCTCCCAACACATGAATGTCTGGCCAGTGAACTCCCTCCCAGAACTGGTTAGACTCGCCCCAACTTTGCACAGCCCTTCCATAAATGTCTCAGCTGAGCAGCTAATCCTTTGGGTTTAGACAGGTGCCTGGGTCATTGCATACAGCTGCCTGTAGGGATTTTCATGGGGGCGAGGAAGCTGGCTTCAGCTGCCTAGAACAGTTATCCTTTACAAGGAAGAAAGCAGGCAGAGTGCACTTTGTAAGAGCCTTGTCTTTTAAAAAGCTCAAAGCTACGAGACAGATAGAATGTCAGAATGTCATGCGAGCTCTGCCCTGTGGCGCCAGCTTTGGGAATAGTAGGGGATAGACCACCCCCCCCCCAGCATTCTTGGGGTCCCTTCACGCTATGGGAATTCTAATGTGTTGGGTAGACCTGGTTTAATTTAAGATAGCCAGCACTACTGATGAGAGAGATGGTTAAGTCTTTTTTATTTTTTATTTAAAGATTTTATTTATTCACAAGAGACACAGAGCGAGAATGGCAGAGACATTGGCAGAGGGAGAATCAGGCTCCATGCGGGGAGCCTGATGTGGGACCTGATCCCAGGTCTCCAGGATCACGCCCTGGGCTGAAGGCAATGCTAATTGCTGAGCCACCTGGCCTGCCCGGTTAGGTCTTTTCTTAAACCTAGAGTGAGCATTGTAGTTGTACCACTTCATGTAGTTTACCAAACTAAGCGCATGTCAGTAACCACCTAGATCAAAAACTAGAGCCCCAAGATTCCTTTTTGTGTTGGGCTCTTGTGTGCAGTGGAGTAGATTTCCTCTCAGCTTGTCCTGGCATTGGCTTGTTTGACTTCTAGAAGACTAGAAGTTCTTGAACAAGTCCCTGTGCTCTCTACCCATTTGCTTTATGGCTCCCCAGAAGTTTTGGCTCTGAAAGACAAGGCTCTGGTTCATTTGAGGTGTTTGACAGCGTATGTGGGGTCTAGACCAAGATTGCCATTGACTTAGAATCGCAGCTCCACAGGCTTTGCTTGCCCTACACAGATGCAGCCGGGTTCTTCTGACGTGAGGCTCTGTTGTGCTCCTGGGTGGTGGTCAGCATACACTGCTCCGCTCCACAGTACGGAGCCCCCAGCCGGGGCTTTGGTGAGACAGGACGTGTGTTTACCTTGAAACCCAGTGAGATGTCTTCCTGCCCTGGGAGACTCCCTTGGGGAAGTTCATCGAGGCATGGGTGGGTGACTCACCCTTAGTCAGCATGGGCTGACTTGTCCGATGCGTGTCCTGGCAGGTGGGTCTGACGGCTCCCGGCTCTATGACTGCGTGTGGAGGTACAATTCCAGCGTGAACGAGTGGACAGAGGTGGCGCCCATGCTGAAAGCCCGCGAGTACCACAGCTCCTCCGTGCTGGATGGGCTGCTGTACGTAGTGGCTGCAGACAGCACAGAGCGCTACGACCATACCACAGACTCCTGGGAGGCCCTGCAGCCCATGACCTACCCCATGGACAATTGCTCCACCACGGCCTGCCGTGGCCGCCTCTATGCCATTGGGTCCCTGGCAGGCAAGGAGACCATGGTGATGCAGTGTTACCACCCGGACACAGACCTGTGGTCACTGGTGGACTGTGGCCAGCTCCCGCCTTGGTCCTTCGCCCCCAAGACAGTGACTCTAAACGGACTTATGTACTTCATCAGGTGAGTCCCCAGAGGCCGATGCCACTCTGAGTCTTTCTTACTAAGCCCCGTGCTAAGGCACATCATCACTGTGCTCCCCATTTCATAGATGAGGAAGCAGGCTGAGCTAGGATCCCAGGCAAGGTCTTTGTATCCTGGAGCCTTTCTTCTACCCCATCTTAGAACAGTTTCTGTGGGTTTTCTTAGTCGAGGGATCCTAACTGATGAAGTTAGATCCCTTGATTGATTGGAGTTAAGTTCTTTTAGAGAACTTTCTGAGATCTCTAGACGCTAAACAAAATGTGTTGCTTTGCCTGCTCTTCCACCTGGAGGATCCCATTCTAAGCCCTGGTTGTTCTCACATGGCATTTATGATAAAGGAACATGTCCTACCTAAGGGACTGCAAATCTTTCTTTTCTTTTCTTTCTTTTTCTTTCTTTTTTTAAGATTTTATTTATGGGATGCCTGGGTAGCTCAGCAGTTGAGCATCTGCCTTCGGCTCAGGGCCTGATCCGGGGTCTGGCTATCAAGTTCCACATCGGGCTCCCTGTGAACAGTCTGCTTCTCCCACTGTCTGTGTCTTTTCCTTTTTCTCTGTGTCTCATGAATAAATAAATTTTTTTAAGATTTTATTTACTTAGAGGACAAGTCAGGGGAGGGGCAGAGGGAGAAGCAGACCCTGCTGAGCAGGGAGCCTAATACTGGGCTTGATCCCAGGACCCCAAGATCATGACCTGAGCCGAAGCCAGACACTTGACTGACTGAACCACCCAGGTGTCCGGGGATTTTGAATCTTAAAAAGACTAGAGGAGAGCTTTTTGGACATTTGAGTCTTTGGGGAGGTATTGCCTTGTCAGAGGGACCCTTTGCTCATCTAGCAGACTGTCCACACTCTGCCACCAGGTGTAAGAGCCAGGTTGGGGGATCAGTTCCATCTCCTCTTTTTAAAACAACACTTGGACATTTGTTTCGTGTTTATAGGTCCTGTCTGTTCCCTTCCCACCTGATCTGGCACAGGGAAGGCTCAGGGTTCTATTGAGTGAATGCTATTCTCTCAGGATCCATGGCCACTCTGGACCCGGAGGGAGCTGGTATGGAGCAGGCCCCAAAGCTACCTGGGGGAAATGATGATTATGACAGTAGCACAAGTTAGGGCTCTGAGCTCTGTGTGGCCTGTCTCCTGGGCATTTTCTGAGTTGATCTCTGTGACTAGTGAAATGAGCACCACTGTCATTTCTACTTCATAGACGGCAACAGAAGCTTACAGGGGCGGGGGGTGGGGGAGGTAGGGGACTTACGTGATGGCACAGGGTTTGAATCAAGGATATCCGACCCAGGTCCTAGTTTGATGTCGCTATATCATGGCCTCTCTCGGCCTTGGCTACGTCCTTGGAAACATGGGGCAGAGATGGATGGCCAGTGGGTCTTGATGACTTGCCACAGCCAAAGGCCCCCTCCTTGTGGGCCATTGGGCATCCAGGGGCTCCTCCCTGCTGTGCATAGCCTCTGTGTCTGTGTGTCTGTATCCCTGCTCCTCCTTCCTTGGCCTAGAGCCTGTTTGAAGCTGAGGGCCAGGAGAGAACTGTAAGGTATGAACTGTCCCCTTTTAGACTGGAACTTTGAGTTGGGAGCCTCAGAGGAAGTATGTACTTGGCTTCTCAGCTGTACCCCTTGTGTCATGTTCTAAGCTGCACTGACCTTTTTCTGCTCCCCCAGACACGAAGCTCCTTCCCAGGCTTTCTTGGTGAGCACGTCCAGAACAGGGATGGCACCGTTTGCCATGCATCATTGTATGCCAGGCACCTACAGAGTTCTCTGAGAAAGCTCTGGAATCTCCACCAGCTCCTGGTCCTGTTATAAAACCTTATCTGACCCTTCACCCAGCTCCCTCCCCCAAGTCAAGGTAGAGGTCTTCAAAGAGGGGGTGGAGATGGCTATAAATACTTCTCAGAGTGCCAGGACCTTGGCTTCAGCCCTTCGGGAGCCTTCCAGCTTCAATGCCTTTGAGAATGTCCTCCCTGCCCTGTGACCCTAGAGCAGGATGTGGCTCTTGCTTCTTCATGTCTGAGCTTCCTGTCAGTTGCTAAAGGCACCCCCCAGGTGGAAGCATTAGGGGGCACCCTATGACCACAGTTAGCCTTTCTAGGGGTTCACCTAAGCCACAGGGGCCTGGGGGGCAGGCAGGTGGAAAGAGTGAGCTGTGGGGAAAGGAAGCCTGATTGTCCTCTCTGGGGGCCGTGCAGGCAAGGCCTAGAATCTGGTTCTGATGCCCTTGAGTGTTTGTTCCAGAGCTTCCCAGTTTCATGTGCTCTGGTGCCTAATAAGCTTCATGAGGCCCGACTCAGAATGCCGCCTCTCAGGGCAGCTCCTGTCCACGAGCTGCTCTTTCAGGGGTACCCAGTGCTGGATGGAGTCCTCAGCCCCTCAGCTGCTGCTATTCTGGGCCACTCCTTTCTCCAGTGTTCCGTCTGGGTCCCTGTTTGAGGCTCTGGGGCTGGAGTGCCCAATCCCTCAGGAGGAGGCACTGGGAGCACTGTCCAGCCTGGCACCTCCAGCTGCAGTTTATACGTCTGCTAGGGAACAGCAGTCCGGTGGCCTCTGGTACTAATTGTCCTAGTCACATGGGCCAGAAACTTAATGGTTTTTACATCTTGAAATGGTTGGAAGGAAAAAAATCAAAGCAGGAGCAGTATTTTGTGTTATGAAAAGTTACACGAAATTCAAATTTCTGTGTCCATAAATAAGGCTTTTTTGGAATGCAGCCAGCCCCTTAGTGGCTGCTTTTGCGCGACAACGGCTACAACGGCAGGCAGCATTGGGGAGTTGCTACAGAGTCTGCTCTTCAGAGCCTGGAGCATTTGCCAACAGGCCCTTCTGCTGACCCCTGACTCCTATTATTTAGGGTTAGTGTCTCTGCTTTTTGAGGCTGTGCTTTTGAGTCTTTTTTGCAGGGATCGAGAGTATGTTAAACCAAGGTCAAAGGATCCTGACCCCAAAGGGAAGGGCAGCACTGGTACTTCTTTCCTATGGCTGTGGCTGTCCTGCTGGGGGCACCCAGGACACAGCAGAGAATGGGGAGATTGGAGGGCTGCCAGCAGAGGGGAGGGCATTGGCCAAGGAGTAGTCGGGGCACATGGTGGTGTGCTGTGGGGCAGGAGGGCTGGCCTGGCCTGGCCAGCCATGGAAGGAAAACAAGCTCAGGTCAGAAGACTGAGAGGAGACTGGCAGTAAGAGCTGTGATAAGCTCAGATCTCAGCCAGCCAGCGAGGCTGCGGTGAGGACAGAGCAGCTGCAGGGGTATAGAGCAGTGGGGAAGGGTTAAACCACGTAAAGGTGTGATCTTCAGGCTGGAGAAGCAAGAGTCTGGTTCTGGCCTTAGGTATGAGGGCCTGAAATGGTCCCTGCAAACCAGGGACAGGGTCTCACCAGCCCATGGACTACCAGATGGCATTGGAGAAGTTTCCAGAGGGAGAGGGTCCTGTGTGGCTCTTGCTCCCCAGCTCCTCACACTCAGGGATGCTTCCTCCTGGCTCTGACATGTTTCCCCCCCCCTCCTACTCACAGGGACGATTCTGCGGAGGTGGACGTGTATAACCCCACGAAGAATGAATGGGACAAGATCCCATCTATGAATCAGGTAAATATACGAACATGTTGGCATTGGAAGCACAGGCTGGTCCTGTTTCCGGGCCCAAGTGTTCATGAAGTATTTGGGAAATAGTAAGCACCAGAGTCAGACAATTGAGCATGAGTTTATCCATGTGGACCAGTATTCATTGGGTACCTGCAAAAGAGCATGTGGGGAAGAGTGTTCCACAGAAGGACAGCAAGTGCAAGGGCCCTGGGGTAGAATGTGCCCTACGGTGGTCAAAGAACCAAACCCCACAGCCCAGTGTGGCTGGAACAGAGTGAACAAGAGGATGACAGAGGGCATGAGGTCAGACAGGAATGGCCCTGGGAATACATTTATTAAGTGCCCGTTGTGTGCTCTAAATAGGACACTGTTGCTATCTTATCAGGGTCTCTCCTTTCCACTTGTCAAGAAGACAGGTGCTGAGCCTGACCCTGTGATAGAGCCAGGAAAGCTCCTTAGTCCTAGTTAATTGTGTATACCCACTTGTTTCTTTTTTGTCTTCCTTAAAATTTCCAAACCTCTGCATGGCAATTGTGGCAGTTATCACAATTTACATTACAGTTTAACGTCCTTACCTTTAGGAAGTGTAACTTTGTCCCCCCCACCCCCCGTTATTATAGCAAAATTTGGGGAAGGTGGGATAGTCCGTTTTTGTGGTTCAGAACCCAGACTTCGAGTCAAGTCCTGGCTCTGCCTCCCGTCAGCCACACAAGGCTGTTTTTCCATCTGTGATGTCGGAGAGAGCAGAGAGTCTGCCTCCTGGCTGATGCTGCTCACAGGGAGACTCGCTGCTTTAGCAGCCACCCAGTCACCTTGGGGACCAGGGTGGGCTCGGTTTTCTGAGCTGGGGTATAGTATAGGAAGGGTGTTGGTCTGGGAAGTGCCGAGGCTACCTTTCCCTGAGGGTCCCGGCACACTCTCTATGGAGAGAGATGGGGAGGGTTTTCGCCCTGCCCCGGCTGCCAGCCCCCACTTGCCTGTCCCCCCTTGGCCCACAGGTACACGTGGGGGGCAGCCTGGCCGTCCTTGGAGGGAAGCTGTACGTCTCAGGTGGTTACGACAATACATTTGAACTCTCTGATGTGGTGGAGGCCTATGACCCAGAGACTCGGGCATGGAGCGTGGTGGGACGGCTCCCAGAGCCCACCTTCTGGCACGGCAGCGTCAGCATCTTTCGCCAATTCATGCCCCAGATGCCCTCGGGTGGGCGTGGCTTTGAGCTGGACGGCAGCAGCAGTGACATGGATGTGGCCCGGCCCCGGCTGCCACAGAACCCGGACGAGCTGCACTAGCCCCGGCCTGGCCCGGGGAAGGGCCTCGGTGCGGGTAACAGTGCGTCTGCGGGGGGTAGGGAGCCCCTTATTTGTGCACAAGGACAAGTTGGGCTCACCAGGTGGAGCACAGGCTCTCACGCTGCTGAGTGAGCCCCAGGATCTGACCCCAGGAGAGCCTCTCTGCATTGAGAGCCTGATTCCCAGCTGGTGGGGCCAAAGCCGGTCACAAACGCCCCTCCCTTAGCCCAGGAAGAGCCGCCTCCCTGCCAGCACGGGTCTTGCTCCAGCAAGTGGCCCCTCGTGCTGCCACTACCTATGCCTGCTTGTTCCCACCTCAGAGAGGAGGGCCCCTTGTGGGGTACACATCGTCCCATGACTGTCTGAGAGTGGTCCAGGCCTGCAGGAACCAGGCCAACGGTGGCTGTAGGAGTTTCCAAACTCCACATCCGATGCTGGACATCCCAGTGGGCCAGCTCCCCGTGATGGAATGGGTCTGCCTGCCTGGCTCCTCTGCCTGCTGGGGTGCTGCACCAGAACACCTTTCACAGGGGTGGGTGACCCAGCAGTGCAGGTGGTGGGACCGGATGGGGGTGTGGCCTTGGGGGGACCCTGAGAGGTGTGCTGAGTGAATCCTATCTCCAGTGAACCTGAGCTGAGCCAGATGCTGGGTGTCCCCATCCTCCCACCCCACCAGCTGGCATGGTGCTGCCTGACTTGGAGACCTCTCCGGAACTGTCCTCCCAGGTGGATGCGGGAGAGGGCAAAAGCCTGCGGGTGCCAGGCTCTAGCTACTTAATTTACTGGGAGGCCCCAGGCAGATGGCCTCAGGTGCCCTCGCACCCCCGTGGGAGCAGAGAATCCTGCTGCTTCCAAAGGAAGCCCTGGGCAAGGCGGCCTCCGGAGCTGGTTGCAGGGTTTGAGAGGCAGTTGGCCTCTCCGTAGAAGAGAGGGAGGTTGGGAGGGAGGCAGCGAGAAACAGTCCATTCTGATTCTTCACTGTCTCACGGTGCCACAGCTGCAGGTCTATGCAGGGCAGCATGACACCCCACACTCCTCTGGGGCCTGGGGCTTCTCTGCAAGGGTGGCAGGAGAAGCTCCTGGAAAATTCCACAGCTCAGGGTCCCTGGTTCTCTCTGGGGAGTGAGCAGTCTGGTCACCTTGAAGTCCCCAAGTAACCTTCTGTTGGATTTGTCTTTCTTCCAAAGACAAATGGTGTTTGCATTTCCCTCTTTAGAAAGATGGGAAACAAGTGTTCATTGAGTTGTCTTCCCCAGTGACCTAACATGGAGATGTGTTCTTAATGAAAGAAAGGAGTCCTAGCACCATCACTTCACAAGTACCACTTAAAAGCTTTTGCTGGCCAGGGGGCATGGGTTCTGGGAAGGAAGTCTCATGGTCTCAGGAACTGTTGGCTGGGGTCCCCGCCTCACGCCCTGGTGGGGAGGCATCATCTTGTTGCAGAGCCCCTGGCTGAGCGGCTCCTGCTCACATTCAGCCCTTCCCACCCCCTCTGTCATCACTCATTAGATCACCTCCACACACCCGCTGTGCCCAGCACTGTCGAAAGGCAGGGTGGTGGTGGCAGCCTGGCTGTGGGATCCCTTGGGCCTGGGCTGCTTCGTGCCCGAGCCTTGTCTTCACCCCTCCCAGTATGAGTGTCTCCCTTCCTCCCACAAGTGATGTCTGACCCCTCGATCCCGGGGCTGGTGACACCTCTTTCTGGCTCTAGTGCCTTCCCGGTAGGCTAACCCCCTGGAGGTTGTCCATGTTCTGGGAAGGGTCTGACTGGTTCCTCTGCAGGCGGAGGCTGTCCAGGCACAATGGCTTGTCTCCTGGCAGGGGACGGGTAGGACAGGGCTTCAGAGGACCAATGAGCCCTGAGAGACACCAGGTGTGTCATGCATGCAGGTAGATGCTGTGATACCTGCTGACAGGTCATGTGCAGGGACCCCCCAACAGGAGGAATGCAGGCCTTGATTGCATGGGCTGCCTCCAGGAAGGCAGGATGGACGTGTGATATGGCTACTGGAGCTGGCCCCACATCCCTCCAGTGGCACTGGGCTCTCAGTCAAGGATTTCCCGGTCAATGACTTCCGGGAGATAGGTATCCTGTAACACTTTTGTTGGGAACGTGGCACTGCAGACACCTTGTTTGTCCTACAAACCGCCCTTTCTGGAAATCCCAGCAGGCACCATTCACTGCTAAGTGCGGGTGCCCACTCGGGCCTTTGTCTGGCCTTCCCTGTAGAAGCTCTCTTTGGCAGGGGCCCCCGCGTTCTGGTTCAACCCTCCTCTTCTGGGTACTTCATTATGACTAGTTAGCACACGACCAGTTAGCACATAACTGACTGCCTCAGTGTCTGGTGGCTGCTCAGGTGATGGCTGCTTTGGGGTACACCAGGGAAGTGGCTACGCTCACTCTAGAGTTAGATGGGTCCCCTCCACCCAGACCTCATCTTGGGTTTGGAACACCAGGGGTGGGAAGCAGAGGTGGCAGCTGCAGGGGGTTCCTGCAGACCCTAGCTGAGGACCGACCCTCCCTGCTTCCCCTGGCAGGAATGTCTACATTGGGATGTCTACACTGCCTGGGGTCAGGGGTTGGCCGGGGCTGGGGCTGTGTGTTGGATGTATGGAACTTTCAGTCTACAAGACAAATTAAGTTATGAAAATTCAGTGACTTGTATTTAATGCCGATTTGCTATAAAGTATTCTATATTTATATGATTTCAGAGACTTATGTACTAAAGGACACGCCCTTTTTGGTGTCCAACATCTAGTTCCAACCCCAGAGGGTGGGGCAGATTTGCCTATTTATTTGTCCTGTAGGCCTAGGTGTCCGGAATCTTGTTTAAGATTTTAGGATGCCTTCAACATACACTTTTTAAAATAAAACTGTTTCCTATACGCTTGGTGTCCTGGTCTTTATCCTGTGGCTGCTGTCTTGGAAACTTTGGGCAGAGGGGTAGAGCAGCATAAGGCTGTTCCCACCCAGTGGGGGAAGGGGACAGAGTTCAGGGTTCTCAGGACTCCAGCCAACTGTCAGAGCAGTCTTGAGGCCCTTTCTTGTCACAGATCATTACAAGGTGGAAGTAGTGCAAGGAGGAGTACAGGTGCCTGAGTCCCAGCTCCAGAGCCCATTCAGCCTCCCTGACTCTGCCCCCCATTTCGCCTTCCCCTGTGCCTGAAGATGGCGCCTCCAGTGGTGCCCATGTGCAGTGGGCAGACCTTGGACCTGGGGTGGGAGGAGAGCCCTTAAAGGAGGGTCCCTTGGGCCACAAAGCTCAGGAAGGCTCCTCACCAGGGAAAGGGCCAGTGCCTGTGCAGAGAAGGAGCATTTTGAGGCCAGAGTTGGTTTTTTTTTTAAGATTTTATTTATTCATGAGAAACAGGCAGAGACACAGGCAAAGGGAGAAGCAGGCTCCATGCAGAGAGCCCGATGCGGAACTCGATCCCAGAACTCGGATCATGTCCTGGGCTAAAGACAGATGCTCAACCACTGAGCCACCCAGGCGTCCCCAGAGTTTATCTTTTTAGTAACTTGACTGAAGTAGGCCAGAGATGCGCATAGCCTGGGTGTCAGGTGTCCCTGAGTATGGTCTTGCCCTCTTAAGTGCCCCAGTGGCCACAGGGTAAAAGATGGTTGGATGGGTCCTGGTCTAAAACAGACGGTTGTCCTCATGCACTGGGAAGAATGTGGCACAGCACGAGACTGGTGTCTCAGGACTGTCCCACTGACAGGATTTAGGCAGTGCCTGATGTCACTGCCTGGTTGAGTTTGCTCTGTGCCACGCACTGAGCACCATGCTCTGGGTAGGGCAGTGTAAACTGCGTGCGGACTTTGGCACCCATCTCCTCCCCCTGAATCTAGGGGGACCTAGATTGGTCTGCCTGGACCAACACAACTTGGCAAAGGGGATACCATGTGACTTGAGGGTGATGTCATATACAGGCCTCACAACTCCGGCCTGATGGAGCATCTGTCCCTGGCACCCAGCCAGCATGCTTGAGGCTGCATGTGGAGTGGGGCCCAGGTCCCCAGTGAGCACCAGATTGCCAAGCACTGACCCCCACCCTCCAGCCCCCAGGGAAATCCTGGGTGCTTTGCCATGCAGCAGCAGGCTCTCATTCAGTCCTTGTCTGCAAAGTGTGTGCTGTTACTAATTCTATTAAAGATGAGGAAATGTAGCAATCATTTGCCTTAGATCACGGCACTATAAATAAGGCTGAGAAGGAATCTGGGTGCCAGCACCCACGCACTCTTCCTCCGTGATATGGCACCCAACCCCGCTGTCCCTGTGGCCAATGAACTCCGGGACCGGCAGGGCCTCGTCATTCTAAGCTTGGCCTTGCCTGAATTCCAGGCCCCCTGGACATGCAAAGCAAGTTAGGACCCACCCCCCCAGGGCAAGGATCCAGTCTGTGGTCCTCTGCCGGCCAGGGTCCAGAGCTTGCTTAACCACAAGCCCTCCCCTTGGGCTCCCAGGGGGACCTGCTGCACACTAGGGAGGCAGGGCCAAGCTAGCGAGGTCATCAGGGATCCTGGCCCCTCTGCTCTGACTCCAGGGGCTTAGGGACGAGTTCTACCCCACTAGCTGGGAGCATCATGACTGTCAAACAGGAATGCCACTGCTCCCCATTCTAGAACCCTGACAGGGACCAAAGATCGAGAGCACCGGGGCATCTCGCTCTGCTGTGGTCTCCGGACAAGGTGGGGAGCACCCTGAGGTGCACAGAAGGCCAGGCGAGGCACCATGTCTTCCAGACCACAGGATAGGAAAGCAGGACCCCCCTGGAGACCAGGTTACTGGGGAGCGACTGCCAGACAGCAACAGAGTCCAAAGCCACGTAGTTTATTGGGGGTCGGGGCCAAGGGGGCTGTGGTGGCAGGGTGGCTACGTGTCACAGTCCTCGGGGATGGCTGCTGTGATGATGAGTGAGGGCTCCATGACGCCCGGGCTCCCCAAGCTCTCTTCCGCACAGAGTCTCTGGCCAGGGAGCTGGGAGGCCAGGCTGCCCTGAGCCAGAGATGCCACAATGACCTCAGCAGAGCCCACCTCCAGCTCAGCAGGTGGCTGCAGCGCTACCACCACCATCTTCTCATCCTCAATGACCAGGTTCCGGAGCTTGCGCTGCCGTGGATTGTAGTTCTCCACTCGGTCGTGGATCTCCATGTGCCTCCGGAGGTGGGCCTAGGGGGCAAGGGGACTCAGGGCTGGGCAGGGAGGGAGCAGGGGGCCCAAGGGGGCAGGAGGTACGACACTGGCCCCAGGCCTACCTGCCGGGTGAACTTGTAGCCACACTCTGTGCACTCGAACTTCCTGACCCCCTTGTGCCTTCTGACATGCACACGCAGCTGCTCCACAGCTGTGGGAGGGAAGGGACCCCGGCATCAAGAGAGGCAGACATGGGCAGATGGTGCCGGGATGAGAGGCAGTCCTGGGGTGTACAGGCCCCACCACTGCACAGGCCCCATCGGCTCCAGGGGCACCCTACCACAGGACCCTCTGCAGCTCCCACCCCCACTTTGTAGCAGCTCCGAGCTCCTGTCTAACACACGGGAACAGAAGAGAGTCTCTGGTGAGAAAGCGCGCCGAGAAAGAGCACATGAAAGCCACCGCTACACCTGACCTCTGCCCTCAGATGCTCCGGCTCCGGTCAGCCGGGACACGGCTCACCCTCTGCTCCCCATGGGGCACACCCAGGGAAGCAGGAGGGATGAAGCCCAGGTACCTTTGGGTTTTTTTTTGTTTTTTTGTTTTTTTGCCCAGGTACCTTTGAAGGTCTTCCCGCAGATTTGGCAGAAATGGGGCCGGCCCTCCTGGTGGCGGCTGGCCACGTGCCTCAGCAGGGGCCCCTTCTCCGTGAAGCGCTGTTCACAGAACTCACAGCTGAAGGGCCTCTCACCGGTGTGGGTGCGGTTGTGCTTGTCCAGGCTGGCTGCGGGGACAAGGCGAGGGCTCAGCCACCAGGCCTCGGCCCCAGGCCCAGGAGAAGAGGGGCGGGCCTCACCTTGGGTGCGGAAGGTCTTGCCACAGAGGTGGCACTGGAAGGGCTTCTCGCCTGTGTGCGTGCGCAGGTGCATGTTAAGATTGGCCTTCTGGGTGAAGGCATGGCTGCAGAACTCACAGACATATGGCCGCTCGTTCCTGTCCAGGCAGGGAACACAAGCAGAAACCATCACCAAGGGAAGCAGTTCCCTTTGCTCTGCGACAGTGGGAGGACGCCTGGCCCCAGAGCCTAGGAAACCATCTAGGCAGAAGCACACGGGCCTGACGCAGCAGCTGGGCCCAAGCCGAGAGTGGCTGTGTGGCAGGAGGGCAGGGGCAGTGCCAGGAAAGGGGCACTAGCTCCATCCCAGAAGTCGCAGGACGCAAAGACCCTTGCAAGCACCTTAACCTCCAGTCCTCTCCCGCAGCCCTTCTGCCTGGCAAACGTCCTCCTCCCTCACGTGCCACTGCCACAGAGGCTACAGGTCCGGGACCCAGGCTGGAGGACGCCCTGTCCCAGGCAGGCCCGCGCAGACTCCACCTTCCAGGCCCACTCACTGGCCAGCCGCCAGCAGCAGGGCCTGGGGAGTGACGGGCCAGGCCGCACCTGTGCTTGGCCTTGATGTGCATCTGCAGGCCGTTCCGGCTAGAGGCCCTGTGCCCACACTCCTCACACACGAACAGCTTCTCCCCACGGTGCTTGAAAGCCTCGTGCAGCTGCAGTTCCGTCCGTGACAGGAAGCACTTGGCACAGGTGGGACACTGTGGGGTAGACGGAGCAGGACCCGGGTGAGGACACGGAGGGGGCCCCCTGGTCCTCTGCATGGCAGAAACAATACGGCCTGCCTGGCTCCGACCACTGCCTCACACCTGCCAGCTACCAGCCCAGCCCAGCTCGGCACTTACAGCGTGGGGCTTGGGTGCTCCGTGTAGTTTGATCAGGTGGCTCTGCAGGTCCTTCTTCTGCATGAACTGCTGGGAGCACGAGGAGCACTGGAAAACAGGCCCAAGGTCACCTTTTAGGCCACCCACACCATGGCGGCAGGAACCCAAGGGCAGGGCCCCAGGACCTGGTGTGAAGGATGCTCCAGGGAGGGCCTCTGCTGCCATGTATACAAGGACACTAAGCCTGCCCTCCAGCGGAAGACACAAGGACCCAGAAAGGGCAAGTGGCCCCACCCAAAAGTAGGGGACACCAAGTGGAAAGGAAAGGCTGGGCCAGCAAGGAAGAGGCACCCAACATCATCCCACATACAGGGCTTGGCAGGAGGGATCCTGGGGCTGCCCCTCTGCCTATGCCCCTGGGGACAGGCTGAGCCTGACCTTGTAGGGCATCTCCCCCGTGTGGGACACCATGTGGACCCGCAGCTCCATCCTCCGGCGGAAGGTCTCCTGGCACACGGAGCACGTGAAGACCTGGCAGTGTGAGGGGCAAGCAGGGCCGGCATCAGGGGGGGGCCTCTGCCTGCGACGGCAGCCTCTGCCCGGGCTTCCACTCGCTGCTGGGAGGAGTCTGCCCGAGGGGGGGGACGCTAGGGTGGGAGAGGGCAACAAGTGACCTGCCTGCCCGGACCCTGACCATCGCTGAGCACTGCAAACCCACCATTCCAGGCTGGGGGCAAGGGCTGAGAGACCTCACCCACAGCCCCCACCCTGGCAACAGGCCCCTAGGAAGAGGAGGGTGAGCTTAGCTGGTCATGTCATATGGGCCAGCCAGTGGGGAGGGGAGGTGACCAGGTGGCCTTTCTCAGCAGCCACCCCCCACCGAGGCACCCTTTCTCCAGAGTCCAGGGGCCCATGCACGCAAGTCCAAAATGCCTCCCACAAAGTCCTTCCTAAGCTGGTCCCTTCTGCTCTCAGGACCAACGTCCCCACCTGTATGCCAGGGAGTAGACTTTGGCCTCCAAGGACACTCCAGCTCTCTTGAGTTTATAGTCCTAAGACAGTCTCCCCTCTCAGATGGCAGGAAGACAAAGGCCAGCGTGCCCCTGCCCACAATGTCCTGGGCCAACCCACAAGTACCTGTTCCGAGCGGTTCATGCAATTCCGGGCCTCATGCTCCAGGAGGTTCTCTTTCCGAAAGTAACACTTGCCACATTTGGGACACTCAAAGGGTTTCTCCCCAGTGTGTTTCCTGCCAGGAAAAGCCACAGAGGGTGTGGGGCCTGAGTGGGGCCCACCTCTCCCTCACCCAGTACCACTCTGGCTCCCCCAGCAGCAGGCTGGGCTCCGCAGCAGAGAGAAGAGTAGCCCAAAGGCCTTCCATGGCTCCTGCATGGCTTGGTCAGGACTGGCTGATGATCCTGCACAGGTGCACCCAGAAACCCTCCTCCTTATGGGAGCCTGCACAGCCCCATCTGGAGGGGCCTCCCCAGAGCCACATGGGCCCGGCTGGCCAACATCTCTGCAAAAACAGAAATAATCCCTGGGTCCTGGCTCCCTGGAGAAGCCACCCAGTCTGTCTGAACTTCTGTGGGTTTTACCATCAAAACTATAGCCAGCATCTGACCACTTGACCTTGCCTTCCACTGCTATCACCCAGTGCAGCCGGGCCATCCCTTGCACTACTGCCCGAGCCTCCTACCTAGTGTCATACTCTACGCCTGCCTCCCAACAGATGTGAACTTTAGTAGCCAGAGGGGCCCTTACATATAGTCAGGCCTCCTCGCCTCTTTGTCCCAACCCTGCAATACTGCCCATTTCACCCTGAGAAAAGGTCAGGGACCTACGGGCATAGCCAGCCGGCCCCTTATCTCAGGACCCTGCTCCCCAGGGCTGGCCTCCCTGATGTTTGCCAACCCACTGGCTCACCCCAGAGTCTCTGCTCTGGCCCTCTTCAACCCACAACACTCCCCTACAGCCATTCACTTGGTAAAATCCTCACCTCCTTTGAGTCTGCCCCAAATTGCTTTCTTTAAAACGGCAACCCGACCCCACCCAGAACTCCCCAACCTCTAGGGGAGGCTCTCCCCCTCCCTTCTTCTGAGGTGCTCCCATCTTCCACTGTAAAGCTGACATCTGTCAGTAACGTCTGCACGGCCCTGCTGAGAGGCAGGCTCCCTGAGTCTCTGCTCTATTTGCTAAGGTACCCCAAGCACCCAGAACAGTCTCGTCAGGCACCTGGCAGAACGGATGAACTAAATGAACCTTGACCTCAGAACACCTGAGCGGCACCAGAACCACTCTTACAAGTTCTCAGAAGCCAGTCATTTCTCTCACCCTCTGCCCCTCCATTGACTGTCCTCATCCCCTCCTAGTTCTCAGGACCAGTCCAGCAGCCTGCAGCCCGACGTAGAGATGGGGACGGTGCCTACACCCCAGTCTCACAGTAGAGGAGTATCAGACAGAGGTGGACCATCCTAGGGTGCCTCCCACACTGGCACTTCCTCAGGCCCCCCTGGCCGCAGCTGCCCCAAAGCAGGGTGAACAAACATCACCCAGCAACAACTCCAATCCACCACTGCTGGCTTCCCAGAACGTCACACTGAAAAAGCATGTAGCCCAACCTGGCTTGGCAAGAAATCAGACTGATGACTTGGACTATGAAATGGCACGTCTGGAAGGCATGTCACCTAGTTGCCACCTCTGGAGGCTTTGCAGGGACCTGGGGCAGTGCTGTCAAGAAAACTGTGACCACGGAAATGTTTGTCTCTCAACAGCCAGGGCCCACCTGTAACTAACTACTGAGCATCTGAAATGCAGCCACCGCATCTGAGAAACTGAACTCATTTTTTCTTTGACTTTAAATTACCATAGCTTCATACAGCATCTCACTACCTTTTCATATAACGCAGGCTTAACCATATAGTCAATTATGCTCCACTGATACCCTGAGGCTACTGGTTCCCCAAAATCACAAGAGGCACCACCCTAAAGACCGACATCTTGGCCCAAAGCCCACACTGCCCAAGGTCGGGCCTCATTCACAGCACGGGGCCATGGGTTTCTCCCATCCCCTTGCCAGAAAGCAGCTAGAGGTCAAAGTCCATACTGGGTGGAACTTATTGACAAGGTGTCCAGAAACCCATTTAGAGGGCTCAAAGTAGGAGAGGGAGGAAGAGGGTCATGTCCCTCCCAAGGCCTCATCCCTGATGATGAGAGGCAAGTCAATATCAGGCACTCCATGAGTCGGTGATGAAGCCCCCAGTCCCCACATGGCCCAGAAGAAATGAATGCAGGCCCTTCCCCCAATGAAATAGCGGACAGGAAAAGAAAATAGAAAAACAGACCGTTACCTGTTGTGCACTTTTAGGTAATATTTGCTGAGAAACTTTTTATGACATGTGGGGCATTCAACTGGCACCGCTGTACCTTTTCTGTTCTCAGCGGGCTCGGCTGCCAGGGCACCTGCACTCAGGGCTGGCTCAGCAGCACACGGCTTTCTGATCATGTCTGATTTCCTCCTGGTTGGCAACGTCTCAGTCTCTGAAACGTAATCACCATCCCCGTCGTCCTCAACTTGAACCACCACTTCCCACTAGAGCAGAAAAGGCAGCAGGAAGCGAGGTCACCAAATTTATTAGCAGGAGTTCTGGGGACAGATGTACAGGGCATCCTGCTTCATCCAGTTCCATCCCAAGGCCCAACCCACACACATCCCCAGATGATTCCCTTTCTCTGTGATTATTCCCATCAGGGTCCTAGGGCTCGCCACAACAGAATCTTGGATGTGGAGGGCGGTGGCTCTATCTGTGGGGAGCTGAGGCTTGGCTGGATTTCAGCACCCGTAAGAAACACCAGTAACCATGAGGCCAGCTACCCAACCCCAAGGAACTGCCAATCCTGGACTCACAGAAAGCTCAGCCTGAGACTGCAGGATGCAGTCAGATTCCTAGGTTTGGAGAAAAACCTATTCCAAACCCACATAACAAAGATTCCATCTTGGGGTCCAGATTATCCCAGAAAAGTGTCAATCTCTATCCCCTGACTCCCACCTCCCCATTCCCAGCACCCTGGGCACAGTACCTCATTATTCCCGCCCTGCAGCTGGACACCTTCAGCCTCAAAGGGCCTTGGGGGCACTTTGCAATCCTCAGGCTCCTTGTCCTCTGGGGGACAGAGCTTCAAGGCCTGCTTGAGTTTCCCACGGTGGAAGGATGGGCTCTCACTCTGGGCGGGGAAACCAAGCTGAGGCCTGTCGGGGCTGTGACTGTCACTGATCTCCTGGTCCCCAGGGACCTGACCCAGCGTCTTTGAAACTTCCTCTTCCTCCAAGCCTGCCGGCTCCTTGAGGTGGCTGTTCACACTCAGGGACACAGGTTTCCCCAGCCCACTCTGGCCACTCGGTGTCTGCCCCACTGAGGTTTTGGGCTTGAAACTCTGGCACAGCTCCACAGCCTCTGGCACTCGCAACTCCCTGGCTGCCAAGAGCACCTGATCCCGGTTTCCTGAGGTGAGAGCAAGGTGACCAGTATAGAAAAAGTCCAACAGGAGACCAAAGATCTCAGCGAAGCCAGCAGGGAGAACAACACTGCCCCCTGAGCCATCCCCATAGAGGCTCTGGAAGAAGTGGCTGCAGCAGGCAAGGACACTCCAGTGTGCCTTGAACACCAGGCCCCCCACGTCCAGGGTGGCGTCGCAGTACTGGCCCTTTTCCCGCTGCTTGTTGAGCTCCTGGAGGACCCTCACGCTGTGCTGGATGAAGGAGCCGTCCATGATCTGTCTGGAGGAGAGGAAGGCAGAAGTGACATCCAGGCCAGTCCTACCCAGGAGCAGCAAGGGAAAGAGCCTGGACAGGGGGGAGAGACTCCACTCAGTCACATTTATCTCAACGAGGGCTTGGGGCAAGGTGAGAGGGTGCCAGCTTGAGCCCGGAGGGCACCGAGCGCCTTCCCGGGGGTGGCGGCCAGGTGAGCGGCACACACTGGGTGAGCGGAAGCACGGCTTGGCCGGGGACAGGGTCGTGAGGAAGTGCTGGTGGAAGGAATCAGTGTGGGAAGAGGGACGGACGATCAGCACGAGCTGGCCGGCCTTGCACGGCGAGAAGACCCGCGGCAGGGCAGAGCTGCGGGTGCGGACAGCGGAGCAGAACCCACGCCGCGCCCACACATCCCGGACCACCGGGCGGAAGGCGTCCACGGCGGCCCGCAGCCCTTCCCTCCCTCGCCACCGCCCCCCTCCCGCGGCCTCCTCACCCCGGCCTGTGCTCCCGGTGTCGGCCCCACCGACCCCGGACCTCGTCGTCTCCACAGCCCCCCTGCCCAACTGCCCGGGCCGTACGTGCCCCGCCGACCGTACGGAGACGCAGCCGCCGCCGCCGCCGCCGCCGCCGCCGGACGTGACGTCAGGGCGCGCCGGAAGGGGCGAAAGCCTGGGGGGTGCTGGACTTCTGGCTCCGCCCTCGAGGGCGTGGCCAAGCAGAGAACGGCCAATGGAATGGGGAGAGGGGTCCAGGCCCCGTGCGCTCGGCGTTTGGCTCAGCTCTCGATGTTGCTTAGCAACGGCAAGCTGGGCGACGGCTTGCTGCGGGGCTGGGGCGGGGTCCCGGGTTCCGGCTGCGGTTGGCCCCCGCGGCGCCCTCAGCCTGCTGGAGGCCGCGCCCCACCCTGGCCCCAGACAGCAAGCGCAGCCAGGACGCACATTTCAGCGCTTTATTGGCAGAGCCTGGGAGCCCGGGGCGGCCTCCGGCGACCTTACACTCCCCGAGCCCAAACTGAAGAGTCCAAAGGCCTCCGGGACGGCGCAGGGCGTGCGCGCCACGCTTGACCCTCGGCCCTCGGGACAGGGGAGGCGGGGTCAGGTGGAGCCGCAGCGCCTCGTGTAGTCCTGGATGGAGGCCTGGAAGTGCTCGGTGCTGTTGAGATCTGGGCGGCACAGGATCACGTAGCACTTGGGGAGGAAATAACCGCTGAAGCCGCTGCTCAGGCTGCTCAGCGCCGCCAGCACGTTGACCGCGGGCAGGTATTTGCCCTGGTAGACGCTGGCTGTGGTGAAAAAGCCAATCCAGGACACGAAGTTGAGGAGCAGACTGAAGGTGACGCATTTGGCCTCGTTGTAGTTCTCCGGCAGGTCCTTACCCAGGTAGCTGCAGGCAAAGGCGCTGACGGACAGCAGGCCATTGTAGGCAAAGGCCACCATGAAGCCCGGGGAGTTGGCCTCCGTGCAGTCAAGCACCACCAGCTGAGGGAAGCGCTGGTACTCCCTGGTGGGCAACGGGGTCCACACCGCAAGCCAAGTTACACAGATGAGCAGCTGGGCCATGGAGCTGATCACCACAAAGAGGCGGGGACCATGGTTTTGGACCCAGGCCTGGTAGAAGGTGGGTACCTTGGCAGAAAACTTGAAGATGAAGACCAGTTGGAAGGAGCGGATTGTCAGGCAGGACAGGAAGATGGCAAAGCCGAGGGCAAAGAGGCCTTGGCGCAACAAGCATGTGGCCAGGGTGGGCTCCCCAAAAAAGCCATAGAGCCCACAGCTGCCCCCTGCCAGGGAGCCCAGCATAAAGAAGCACAGCCTGCCCCCAGCTGACCTCACCACCGGGGTGTCTAAGTGCCAGGCAAACAGGCCAGCAGCCCCAGCCACCAGCAGCAACAGCAGCGTATTAGCTGCCAGCAGCACCCAAGAGATAGGCTCATGCCAAGTCAAGAACACCACAGTGCGTAGGAAGCAGGATTCACTTCCCTCAGGTGCCCACTCTTCTTTCCCACAAGGCTGGCAGCTGTGGAGGTCTGGAAGGAAAGGCAGAGGGACTCCTAAGGGCTAGTGGAGCAGTTCAGGAATGAGGAAGGGAGACCACATTGATCTGCAAAGTGCTGTGAGGGAGATACCACAGGAGCTGGAGATGGGGGTAGCCCTGAGTGGGGTCCTGAGGCCATGTGTTTCCTCAAGATGCCTGTGTGAATTAGATTCTGGAGACCCTTGGGTAAGTTCTGTATGGCTCGTGATCCCAGAAAGGGCTTGCAAACCAAGAGGTCCCTAGGGAGGGCTTTACTCTGGTTGCTCTGTCCACCTGCCAGTGAGGCTATGATCCAATAGGAGCAGCCAGCCCCAAAGGAAGGGCATTTTCTTCTCTCCCCAGCACTTCCGTGCTAAAATCCACCTAGCCAAATCCACCTTCCTGTGCTGCCACTCTATGGTTTCTCTGACTCTGAGAACAGAAGAGATGCGTTCCCATGCCCATGGAGATCATAAAAGGAAAAGAATGTGGCTCATGGTGTCCAACTCTGGGCTGAGCCCTTAGTTGCCTTAATTTGCTCTCTGATCTTGGCCTTGCATCACTGGGTATAGTATGCTGTTTTTTCAGCTGCAGATACAGTATCCTTCCTTCAGGCCAAGCTGTTCAGGTGCTAGCTACAGCATAGGCAATAGAAGGGACTTCACACAGATAGCAGGGAAGGGTACAAGGGAACGGAGCTACCTCTGCTTGCATAAAGAGGTTGAATTTAGGATAAAATTGTGCCTGTAGGAATGGGGCTGGGAGCTCTCTAGTAAAAGACATAGTGGGCCTGAGGATTTTAACAGGTTGTTTCTTTCTGCTTCCTCAGAATTCAGTCTGGTGACAGGTATTCTTCAGCCTATACCTAACTATCAGTGAAGCAAGCAAGGCCCTGGTTCTGTGCATGTGTGACCCGAGGGAGAGCCCCTCTTCTGCTGTACAGACCCTAGGAGTGCCCAGTCCTTCACCCACTCACTTGATCACTCACCACTCTTGTTGAGGAAGGTGCCAGCCTCACAGGGCACACACTCAAAGCAACAGTGGTAGAAACCCACAACTACTCGCTGGTGCCCTTCAAGACAGTTGCTGGAGCACACAGACTCAGGCACCTGCAAGAAGCCACAGGTGTTCTGTAACCACATGGCCAAGTCAAGGAATACTCACAGGTGGAATGGGAAATAGTCTCTGTGCATCTGCCTTCACAGCTCACTCCCAGAGCAGAACCCCTGGTTTTATAAACCAGCGCAGCAGGCCATCTGGGTGCTGCCTGTGGGGCTTCCCCAGCAGGGCTGGATAGAGGCATGTTGGCCTGGTACCTGGGATCTCCCTCCTGCTCTGTGTAAGCTATGTCAACAGTATCCTTGGGCTTCAGGCTGCTCATAAAGCAGTCATCTGGTAAGTGACCATGTCTCTATTACCTGGTTGTCCTCTCCGTGCCACCGGATTTTGGTTTTATTTATGTCCAGCTGAACTGGAGGCCACGTGGAGGAGCCAATGACCCTGAAGGTCCACTTGGGACCACTCCAGTCCCAGGCAATTATGTCATAGCCACTGAGAGGGTCCCCGTTGTCATTAAATATCACAGTGTCCTCGTGTAGAAGGAAATTCACCTTGCGGATCTGCTCTAGAAGCTGAAATACACAGGGATCAGGGAGCTGCCGTAGATGGCAAATGTTGCTCCTCCTCAACCCACCCAGACCTGGAAGGATCAGGAATCAAGTGCCTGGGGCCTTATGCTTCTATTTGGGTGGTTTCAGGCCATCTGGAAATTCAGAGCCCTCCTTCCCCTCCAAGGAAACCCCTCAACCCTCCCAACCAGCCTTCTGAGAGGTAGTTTCTAACAAAGGACCCCTTTACAGTGATTTTTAGTCCTGCATATGAAGCATGGTGAGTGAGAGGGGCTGAGGTTCAGAGAATTGAAGCCTAAGAGAGGGGATCAGCCTTCTGGTCAATGGCCTTTGTCCTCTGCCCCCAACACTTAGTTGGGCAGAGAGTGATCACTCTGGTTTCCTCAGGAAAGCACCCTGTTTCAGGGTGCCAGGGGTAGGGCCACCTTACCTGCCAGGGGTAGACTCGGTCCCTGGAACAGGCTCCAGAGGCACAGCCCAGGAGCTGGTGGAGGCCATGGGCTGCTGCGTAGACAGCCCGGTAGGCATTGTAGGCAGAGCTCATGGAGAACGCTCCGAGTGTGGGCATCTGCTGTACTGTGAAAGCTCGGCACTCTCTGCAGAGTTGGTTGCTGCTGCACCAGGAGTCCCTGGAGCAAGGCCTATGGGCTGCCTTCTTTGCCCGGACGTAGGCCTCTTCAAACTCCTTCAGACCAGGGACAAGCTTCTGCTGGATGGCCACGCCCAACACTGTGCCAATGCCCCAGATCCTGGGCAGGCTGCTAATATGTCTGGAGATGGCCCAGTCTTCTGAAGCAATCCACACCTTGGCAGTCAGCCTGGCCAGGACCACGGACTCGAAGAACACCCTGGCCAGCTGCCTGCTGGAGAAAACGACCACAACAGTGGTCCTTGCTCGGTCCAGGTGGTACATCATGCTCTGCATCCTCTCATTACCCGGCTGGGCAGAGAAGGGTATGATGTCCTTGAAGGCAATGCAGATGCCCTGCTGGGTGGCCTGCTCCTCCAGTGCCTGCACCCCCAGCTGCCCATAGTCGCCATCACTGCCCACCAATGAGATCCAGACCCACCCAAACCTCTGCAGCAGTAGCACCATGATCTCCACCTGGTACTTATCGCTGGGGATAGTGCGCAGAAACGAGGGGTAATACCGCTTCACTCCAAGCATCACACTGCTGGCCTCGTAGCTGATCTGCGGGGGTTCAGTTCAGCAAGTTCAGTGGCATCAGTCTCAATCAGGGCCCCCAAGTGCTGGCCCTGTTCTGGGCACCGGGACCCAGGGATGAGGGACACATGGTCCCTGCCCTGGTTCTCAAGGAGAACTCTAGTGGACATAGGAGGCTGACGAGTTACATGCGGAAAAGAGGCAGAAACCCAAGGAGGAAGTTCTGAGAGAAGAAAAGGAAGGGAACAAAAGCTGCACACAGTGAGTGAAATGACCCAAGAGGTTGGATGCCAGAAGGAGCACAAAAGTAGGTATGTGGTTAGGCCAAGGGGGCCTTAACTGTCAGGCTAAGATACTTGGTCTTTATCTGTAGGCCATTGGGAGCCCCTAAATATTTAGGCAGAGAAGTGATATATTCAGGCTTGTGTTTTAGGAGTGTATCTCTCATTTCAATGAGGAACATGTTAGAAAAGGCTTAAAAGCAGAGTCAGGGAGAACCCCTAGAAGGCTGATGGGATCGTCTAGATGAGAGCGCTTGGTGGTCTGAGTTAGAGCTGTGGCGGTGGTGATGAAGAAGAGGGGATGGACCTGGAAGCATTTAGAGGGTAGAAGCAGAGGGCATGGTGATGGGCTAACTATGGGGGTGTGGGACAGAGGAATTTGGGTAGGCCTGTTGGGTTCCTGGCTTGAGTAGAGATGGTCACTCTTTAGGCAGGTAGACAAGAAGGGGGATGCAGGAAGAAAAGAAGCTCTAGTTGTATAGGGAGGTAAGCTCAGTTTGGGGCCTGTGGGTCCATGAAGTGGAGACCCTGGATGAGCACCCAGAAATGAGGCTCAGTGCTTAGAACTCAGGACAGAAGGGATGCTTGGGTGGCTTAGTGGTTGAGCGTCTGCCTTCGGCTCAGGACATGATCTCGGAGTTCTGGGATCGAGTCCTACATAAGGCTCCTGCATGGAGCCTGCTTCTCCTCCCTCTGCCTATGTCTCTGCCTCTCTCTGTGTCTCTCATGAATAAATAAATAAAATCTTAAAAAAAAAAAAAAACTCAGGACAGAAGCTAGAGAACAGGAAATTGAGCCACTGGGGCCCATGGCTTGTGTAGGGGTTCTGAATAAATTGCCTCAAGATATGCCACTTTGTCTTGTGGGTTAATTTCCAATTGGGAATAACTAAGGCACAACAAACTCAAGAAAAAAAACTTTGACCTTTCCCCTAACTGCCTAAAAGAATTTAGTTAGCTGACCTGCTCTAGGTGAGGGAGCTGTCACCATAGGTAACTGCATTACAATAGGAACTAGATATGGTGGGCAGCGGGATCTTAGCAAAGTCTGATTTGTTGAAATTCTCTATGTTCCATTGTTCCTGGATGGCCCAGCAAACATTTGTTTACTAAGCATTTACTTTCTTTTTTTTTTAAATTTTTTATTCATTTATGATAGTCACACAGAGAGCGAGAGAGGCGCAGAGACACAGGCAGAGGGAGAAGCAGGCTCCATGCACCGGGAGCCCGACGTGGGATTCGATCCCGGGTCTCCAGGATCGGGCCCTGGGCCAAAGGCAGGCGCCAAACTGCTGCGCCACCCAGGGATCCCCCCAGCATTTACTTTCTTTTCTCTTCCTGCGAATTGTCTTCCTCTCCTTTGAAGTCCCAGACCCCAACCAGTTTCTCCTTGGTTCAGAATAGCAAATAAGCCCCATTTCTGCCTGTCTTTGAACTTCTCATGTTTTTATGGATTCCCTATACCTGTAAAACTTTGACTTTCTCCTATTAATCTGTCTCATGTCAGATGAGATGTTAATGTTCAGACCAGCCAGAAGAATCCTGAAGAGTAGAGTAAAATTTTTACTCCCAACACCTGCCTAGGAAAGGGAGCATCCTGCACTCTGGGAATCATCCACCTTCAGGAGAGTCTAAAGGAAACTGAGGAGGAGGGGGAGGTGTCATAAGTGAGACAGGGCAGGTCTTAAGGAGGGGGAGGTGCCATAAGTGAGAGAGGCTCTCCAGATCACAAGAGCAAGTGGTGGCAGCTGGGGCAGGGGGCTGAGAAGCGAATGACAAGAGGGAGAAGCAAACAAAGCTAGAGAGCTCTGCAGATAAGTTTCCACAGAAAGAGGGCAGAGGGAGAGCCATGCTGGGAACAGAGGTGCCTGGAAGATGGAGGGGGTAAGGCCAGGAGAGGTGGAGGAGGAAGCAGGAGAGGCTAACAAGCAGAGGAGAGCATGAGGCCCAGGGGGACAGCACCCTGAGTGGAGAACCAAACCTCTAGGCCTGACCTGGGAGGGAGGGAAGGAAGCCAGGAAGGAAGGAGGGTCTGGGAGAAGTAGAGAGGTTCATGGGGGTAGGAAACAAAGAGTGTTCCATCCTTCACAAGGGAGATGGAATGTTGGGAAGAGTAAAGGGCAGCAGTTTCAGAGAATGGGTTTTCTCAGGAGCATTGAGGCCAGGGGTCTGGATGCAGCACCTGGGGGGAAGAAATGCTGGAGTGCAGATTGCGATGGGGCAGGGCCTCCCGCGATGTGACTAATGAGCAGTGATCACCCAGGAGATCCAGGGGCCCAGACTGGCTTGGGGGCCCAGTAGCTCCTGCCCACCACCCCTAGCCCACACTGGACTTGACAGAAGGGGAGATGGACACCCTGTCAGGGCACCAGCTTACCACAGGCACTAGAAACGGGCTCAGCAGGGCTGCAGCGGTGGCAGCATGGTTGGTAGTGTCAGGTCCAATCACCGCCAGGGCAGCCGGGGAATAGTGGGAAGAGTCTGCTTGGATCTCTATGTGATGTGTCCCCAGCGTGGAGAGTACATTGAGTGTGGCGTACACATTGGCTGACTCTGAGCACACGTCATACAGCTGGTACCCCAGGGTGACATTAGGCAGCAGAGTTGTGGAGTTGTTGATCTCCTCAATGCCAAACCGCATGGCCTGAAAGAGGTGGTAGCCATGGCCATTGAAGCTGTTGGGCCTGTAGAGAAAGCCAAGCTGAGAGCCGAGAAGGGCAAGGCCTTGCCGAAACCCTCTTTGGGGGGTAGAGAGGAAACTCTGAGGTCATCTGTCCAGTCCCCTACAACCGTGACCTCAATGTGGGCCCTGTACCATACACACAGTTGTGTTAATAGGCCTTTGCAGGGGTTGGGGTGGGGAACAAGTTGGAGGAACCACATACCATGCCTCCCCAGATAAGAATATTAGCATTGAAAGGCTGATGAAGTCCTGTATCAGAGACACGTGCTGTATTAATCAGGGTTCTCTAGAGAAACAGAACCAACTGGACATACATGTAGAGAGAAAGGTTATTTTAAGGAATTAGCTCGTATGATTGTGGGGCTGGCAAGTCTGATGTTTGCAGGGCAGGTTAGAAATTCCCTTAATGGTAGATGCTGCAGTCTTGAGTCTGAAGGCAGAATTCCTTCCTTTTTAGGGGACCTCAGTCTTTTCTCTTAAGGTCTTCAACTGATTGGATGAGGCCCACCCACACAATGGAAGGCAATCTGCTTTACTCACCCGTCGATTTATTTATTTTTTTTAAGATTTTATTTATTTATTAGATACACAGAGAGAGAGAGAGAGAGAGAGAGAGAAAGAGGCAGAGACACAGGCAGAGGGAGAAGCAAGCTCCATGCAGGGAGCCCGATGCGGGATCCCATCCCAGGTCTCCAGGATCACGCCCTGGACCGAAGGTGGCGCTAAACCGCTGAGCCACCAGGGCTGCCCTCACCTGTCGATTTAAATGTTAACCTTCACAGCAACATCTAGACTGGTGTTTGGCCAAACAACTGAATACTATACCCTAGTCAGGCTAACACATAAAGTTAGCCACACACCTGTTTAACCTTGTTTAGCTAATGCTACTCACCAGGACACTCATGAATGGGGTGAAGGCCTGTGTTCCTCCCTACCTCTTGGGAACTGCTAGCTGGATCCCAAAAGGGGCATGGTTCAGCTCTGCTTAAAGAGTGTGCAAGCCCATTTCACTTTCCAACCTCTCTGCTTGTTAGAAGGGTCTTCCGTCATTCTATCACTTCTGTCCTCGAGTCCCTTGGAGGAAACTCAGTGAGTGCCTCCCACCATGACACCTTCAGAAGTGGGTATCCATGTGTCTCCTCTTCCCCAAATCTTCTCTTCCCAGCTCCTATCTGTATCTCTTTGGCCAGTCTTCATGCACTAGGCTTTCCAGAACCTTCCTGTGTGACAGATGTGCTTCATGTTTAAGGCATCTGCCACTGGGTCTCGATCCAGCCTCAAGCCTCCCAGATCTTAGACTTGCACAGATACCACTCGTCTTCTTCTTTTTTTAAAAAAAGATTTTATTTATTCATAGAGACACAGAGAAAGAGAAGCAGGCTCCATGCAGAGAGCTTGACGTGGGACTCGATCCAGGGTCTCCAGGATCACATCCTGGGCTGTAGGCGGCGCTAAACCGCTGCGCCACCGGGGCTGCCCACCACTCGTCTTCTTTAGGAGAAAAGCAGATGCTTTTCTCTACCAAGACCGTCGACTTGATGAAGGCAAGGCACCAATCTAAAGAATCTTTGCTAAGCTAAAGCATCTACTGCTGTGTGCCTTCCATTTACGCTGCATGGAAAACCATACTCACCATCAGGAGACCCAGAAAGGAATAGGGAGGACACAGAAGCAGGGAAAAGCCATGATTGCTTAACCTTTGCTGCCTACTTATGTCACAAATCCTGGATCAACTGGAATGGGATTACAATACAAAGCACTGTAATAGTGAAGACAAAATAACAAAGTGTAACCTGAGCAGAAGTACCAGGGAAGGTCCAGCCAGGGCTTAAGGTAGTGACCTAGGAGGGGGAGGGACTGGAGGTAGTTCAGGAGGCGGCCCCAGAGGCAGAAAGGGCAGGCAGAGGTCCTTCTAGGCACAGGCCCCTCACTCACCTGTCACAGAGGGTCACCGTGGGCCTGCGTCTCACCCCGGGACAGTCAGAGTGCAGTGGGAACAGACCTGCAAGTAGGTAATCCCCAGAGAGGCTGAAATCAGGAGATGACTCTGTGTTGTGGCAGCTGAGGGCCCAGTAGCAGGAGAGGGAGAGCTGCAAGCTGACCAGGTGAGCTGCCAGGAGTGACATGCTGGCCACACAGTCCTGTGCCTGGCATGGCCGAGCAGAGCCCTCTGACCAGGTTGGCCGTTTAAATAGAATAGATGGCAGCTGCCCAGATGCTTCCCAACTTCATGCTTGTGCCAGGGGTGGGGCTGAAATCCAGTTGTAGGAACCTGGCTGCTTGCCGTGGCCTTCTGGGCCTGTGGTCCTGCTCAGGAACTCAGCAGGGGGAAAGAACAGATGCAAACCAGGTGGCCGCCACTGACCCTTCCTCTGCATGGTTGTGGCTTCTGTTCTTGCTCTGGTGCTTGTGGCTTCTTCACCTGGCTCAGAAAGGGAGCCCCCCCACCCTGGGGCGCCTGGCTGGCTCAGTGGGCTGAGCAGCTGACTCCATCTCGGCTCAGGTCTTGACCTCAGGGTCTTGAGTGAAAGCCCAGCGCTGGGCTCCAACCTGGGCGTGGAGTCTACTTAAAAGAAAGAAAGGGAGCCCTGGCATTTTGGGGGACGGTGGTCAGAGAAAGGAGGCAGGGACACAGCTTCTCCAGGGGATAGAAGGTGGAGGGAGCTGTGGGTTTTAGAACCTTTTACTTGGGCCTCAGTTTACCAATGAGACATGGCTTTGAGTTGATGTGGTCCCAGTCCTCAGTTTTCTGACACTGAAATTTTGAGTGAATCATTGTGGGTTTGTCTTGTTATCCAGGGTGGCTCCCTTCAACTCAAAGACAACTGCATGCAAACACAGTATGCAAATAGACCGGTTTTGCTTAAACTGCCAATCCTGGGTCTTTTTCTGCAAGAAAAAAAAAAAATTCCAAGTGGATTTCCGGAGAGGTGGCCCAGGACTCACGGTGGGGTATCTGGCCCGGGTGGGGCTTTTGCATAATGTAAATGGGGCCCTTGAAGGGACGGCCGGTCGGGTGTGGCCAAGGCCGCTGCCTCTCAAGCCCCCGGGCCGGCGGGAGCCTCCGGGGGGCCGGCGGAGGCCAGGTGCGTTGCCGGGGCGGCCGGCAGAGGGCGCACGCGGCCCCCAGGCCCCTTCTTGCAGCCGCCCGACCGCCGCGGAGCGGAGCGACTGGATCTCGCGAGATTCTCGTGCGGCAGGCGCCGGGGCCAGCATGGCGGACTCGCAGGTGCTGCCCAAGAGGGGTCCCTTCCGCTCCACGTGGCTGCGGGCCCGCAAGGCTCGGACGCCGCTCGTCCTCAGCCGCCGGCCCCGCCGCCGGCTCGGGACGCTGCGTTGGTGCGGCCGGAGGCGCCTGCGGCGGCGGCTGCTGCAGGCCGAGGCGGCCGGCGCGGACTGGCGGGAGAGCGGCTGCCCGGTGCCGCGCGCGGTGGCCCGAAGGCCCAAGCCCGAGGCCCCCCGCCCCGCCCCGGCCGCGCCCCCCGCCGCGAGCGGCCCCGCCACCCTCCCCATCCCCCCCGTGCGGCCGGCCGGCCCGGGCCGCGCGCTGCTGCTGCTGCCGCTGGAGCAGGTGGGTCGCGCCGGAGGAGCCGCAGCCCCTGAGAAGACCCTGCGGGTCTGCTGGTGCTCCGGCCGCCGGCGGTGCGGAGCGGGGACGCCGCGGCCTCCCGTGGGGCCCTGGGCTGCCGAGCGACGTGGCTGCTGGGTGCTTAGACCTGCCAGGAGGTGCGCGAGCCCTCTTAACACGCTCCACTCTCTGGAGTCCTTGCCTTTATCTCCGGAGTGTTTTCGGGCGAGGACGCTGAGGTGTAGCGTAGCAACTTGCCGAAGGTGTACAGCAGCGGCAGAACTGGTGCTGAAGCCCGGGCAGCCCGGTGGCGGCGCCTGTGCTCTCCTTCCTCCAGGGCGGGAGGAAAGTGAGAACCCAGGAATGGGAGAAACTTGGCTGGCTGTGGGCCTTGGCACAGGTGGGGGTCGTGAGGACAGCGGAGCCCAGTTCCTGGGACCCCCTGTCCTTCCTGTGTCTGTACCCCAGCCGTCTCTCTAGCTGTCCTGGCAGAGGAAATTAGGCTAAAGGTGGTAAGTACCTGATGGCCACCTAGTACAATGTATTGTGACTTGGAAACCCCCCCCCCGCTTTGATATGTGAAAAGCAATTAAGAATTTAGAAGACTTAAAAAAGAAGAGGGGGTGGTGCCTGGCTGGCTCAGTGGGTGGAGCATGCTACTCTCCATCTCACGTTGTCACTTCCAGTCTGAAATTGGGCATAGAGTTTATCTTAAAAGAAGTAGAAGAAAGTTCAGAAAACTTGTAACAGAATTCGTAATGTTGTATCTTCTTTTTTCTCTCTTTGCTAGGGTTTTACTTTTAGCGGGATCTGCCGTGTGACTTGCCTCTATGGCCAAGTGCAGGTGTTTGGTTTCACCATTAGCCAAGGCCAGCCAGCCCAAGAGGTCTTCTCTGCCTACACCCACTCTCGCTTGGCTATCAATGCAGTTCATTATTCCATGCCTGAGAAAAGCAAGAAGGAGATGAAAAGAGAAGCCCGAACTTTGCTCAGATCTCACCTTAGTCGGGGTAAGGAAAATAGCTGGATAATTTACTGAAGGTGTACTATAATAAGGCCGATATTTTTAGATATTTCTATTGCCTAGTCATTGCGGTTTTTTTGTGTCTATTTAAACCCTCATGACCGTCCTGTGATTCAGATTTGTTTTCACCATTTTACAAATGAGAAAAATTGCTCAGGGCCACATACCTAGTGTATAGCAAAAGCAAACCTGGATTGATTTCTCCATCCAGGTGTGTCCCTAGTACGTGATACGGTTTCCTGAAGAAAGCTTTCAAACGTAAGTCCTGCTCTCAAAAAGTAGACCGTTCAGCTGAGAAGGTAGTCCTAAATGATGTAGAATTTCATGGTGTTACTTTTCTCTTTACAGATGACAGATGCTGGTTGATGAAGAACTTTTCTCCTCTGTGTTCCATTGTGATGCTAGAACAACTGAAAACCTCCACTGTGAACTTCTTAGTCAGCCATCCAGGTTTATCTTACGTTTTCGTACAAGAGGTAGAGCCAGTTTTCATTCAGAGTTTTGCTAATTACTTTCACCAGAACAGTCATGTCAGATGACTGTAGGAGCTCCCTTGGAAGATCAGTTTGTTGTGTTGTGGGTTGTGCACAGTGTCACATGTGTGCACTGCAAAATAGCATAGAAAATGCTATCTCCCTTTCCTCGTTAGTTTTTTTATTTATTTTTAAAAGATTTTATTCACGAAAGACATAGAGAGAGAGGCAGAGACACAAGCAGAGGGAGAAGCAGGCTCCATGCAGGAAGCCCAATGTGGGCCTCAATCCCAGGACTCCAGGATCACGCCCTGGCCTGAAGGCAAGCAGTAAACCGCTGAAGCACCGAGGGATCCCATCCTTGTTAGTTGTATTCCCCCCTTTCATCCTTTCATATTGTAGGTGGTTAAATGCCTTTTGGAATTTTTAATTTATATTTTTTCCAGGTTTTTTTTTTTTTTTTAAGATTTTATTTTTTTGAGAGAGCAAGCATGCATGAGTGGGGGAGGGCGGAAGGGGGAGAAGCAGGCTCCCTGCTGAGCAGGAAGCCCTATGTAGGGCAACTTGGGGCTCGATCTCAGGACCCTGGATCATGACCTGAGCTGAAGGCAGACACTTTAGCAGCTGAGACCCCCAGGCGCCCCCCCAAAAGATTTTTTTTTTAACTTTAAGTACAATCTACCCCTCAACGTGGGGCTTGAACTCATGACCCGAAGATCAGGAGTTGCGTGCACTACTGACTGAGCCAGCCAGGTGCTCTGCCTTTTGGAATTTTTTTTAAATGGTTACATTTTTATTCTGATTTATTAACTTGAGACGGTATACATTTTCTCTATGAGCATACTTCAGTGAGCTTATACTTTCTCCCATTTCTTTCTCAACTCCAAATTTTTGCTGACCATGTTATTAATTTTTTTTTTAAGATTTTATATATTCATGAAAGACACATGGAGAGAGGCAGACATAGGCAGAGGGAGAAGCAGGCTCCCTGCAGGGAGCTTGATGGGGGACTCAATCCCAGGACCCTGGGATCATGCCCTGAGCCAAAGGCAGGCGCTCAACCCACTGAGCCACCCAGGCGTCCGCATGTTATTAATTTCTTTAAGTCGTGTTCTGTTTTATAATTGTCTCCCTTGAGCCGGAAATTGAGCCTAATCTGTAGGATTATCAGGCTGACTGGATTCGAGGTATGAGGAAAAACCAAGGAATAACATGCTTTTGGATGCTTACAGTTATTGAGATGGAGATACTGCAGGAGGAGCAGATTTAGATGTTAACCTTGAGATGCCTGTTAGACATTCCATTGGAGATGTCAGATGGACAGTTGAATATATGAGTCTGGAATTGGGAGCTTTCAGCAGAATGGCACACAAGCCATGAGATGGGATAAGAACACCAAGGGAGTTGATACAGAGAAACAAGGGAGTTCAAAGTCTGAGGCTTTTGGCACTCCCAAGAAGAGGTCTGGATGAGGGAGCAACAGAGACTGTCTCTGATGTCAGAGACATCAGAGGAGTCACTGATGTTAGAGAAAAACCAGGTGAGTGTGATCAGGAAGTCTTCAGAGGAGCTGGAAGTGAATAGTTGTGTCACTGTCACTTGCTGCTGTTGGTAGGTGGGTCCCAAGAATGGAGCCTGGGAGAGGTAGGAGTCTGATCTGGACAAGCGCAGTCGCAGTAGACTGCTTGGGGATAGCCTGACCGGATTAGGGTCAAGAGCCTAGGGAGGAGGAATTCCAGGGTTTAAGGGAAGGAATTTTGCTTTTGTGATTGGAGAAGTGTGGTCAGAGTTTTGTTTTTTGTTAAGATGCATGAAAAAAAAAAAAAAACAGTGCATGTTTGAACACAGCAGGTAGGAATGATCCAGTGCAGGGAGGGAGGTAATGGTGGAAATGAGGCTGCAGAAGGGGAGCTTCTGGCTCTGGTGTCCGTAGGGAGGAGTCAACCTTGAGAGCAGTGGCAGTTCACCTGGAGTAGCTGGCCCACGCGGAAGTTCTCTCTCTCTCTCTCTCTTTTTTTTTTTTTACTTAAAAAAAAATATATATATATATATATATTTTTTAATTTATGATAGTCACAGAGAGAGAAAGAGAGGCAGAGACACAGGCAGAGGGAGAAGCAGGCTCCATGCACCAGGAGCCCGATGTGGGATTCGATCCCGGGTTTCCAGGATCGCGCCCTGGGCCAAAGTCAGGTGCCAAACCGCTGCGCCACCCAGGGATCCCCTAAAAAATATTTTAATTTATTTATTCATGAGAGATACACAGAGAGAAAGGCAGAGACATAGGCAGAGAGAGAGGCAGGCTGCATGCAGGGAGCCCAATATGGGACTCGATCCTGGGACCCCAGGATCATGCCCTGAGCCAAAGGCAGGTGCTTAACCACTGAGCCACCCAGGTGTCCCAGAAGTTCTCTTTTGATGGTCTCATCCCCTCCAGGAAATAGATCAGGGCCATAGCTCAGTGGGAGTAGGTCAGTGGCAGGTGTCAGAGGTTAGAAGTGAGAGGAGAGGCCATGCAATGAGCACAGGACAATCAGTGGACTTTTGTGATGACCTGGGATCTAGTTTAATCTAGATGACCGTTTAATCTGGGATGACCGTTTAATCTAGTGCA